ATTCCTCTGATTGTGACCTCTGCGCTCATACAACCAAACGTTGACTGGGAGCGCTACGTGGAAAATCAGCCATTGTAGACTTTTGACCCTGCCTAACCTTATAGTACTCAATGCTGACCACGAAAGACGAGAGACTTGCGCCTTGGGTACTTCCAACCTCCGTTCCCAACGAATAGCTAGTGATTCTGCCAGTGGGTAAGACCTTCTCCTGAGCCTGTGCCCCAATTTGGTTGTATATTGAAGTATGTTTACTCTTCTGGCAACCCTCAGAAAACCTCCCTTGAGATTCCATGCCCATTCTGCTGGGTCAACTTCTAAATCTCCTAGAGATGTAGTTGGAGCATAAATCATATAATTGTCCGTCTCCACTACTCTGACCTTACGTACTGCTTTTTTAAAGATTGTAATCAGGGAAACAGATGTCTTATCTAATTGACTGGTGGTGGCCCCTACTACTACTATTGATAACATATCAGCCAACAACCGTGCGTCCCCTGGGCCCGTCTTACCCCTTGTTCTAAATGCAACTTCCGGTTTATCCTCGTGCAACCACATGGCCCAATCCCCCTTTTCCCAATTCGAACCCTTCTCTAGTAAGTTTACCCATCCTGGTGGTATAGAAATAAGAACATCATTCAGATTCTCTAGCAATTTGTGGGTACCCTTCATCTCGTTCCGAAGTTCTCTTGCCGTCTTCCATCGCTGCTTGTCTTCTGACCATAAATGTCTAACCTGCCAGACTCCATGCTCCACCCATGTTCCCCATTTTGAATCTTTTGCTGTCAGGGTACGCGGCTTCCCTTGGTGATCCTTAATCCAAGGATTGCAGAAAAGTGGTTGACGGAGAACCTCCTCTCTTTTCCTAGGTTCTCTTACTCTTGCTGGGAAAATGTCCCCCCACAGCTTGAGGAGTTGTGCCCAACAAGAGCCATCGCTTTTGTCCGTTGCCCCAGGTGTCCGTTCGCCTTCGTCCTACTTTTCCTTGCCCAGCCTTTGCTCATCACCCAAAACAGCCCTGTCATGTTGGCCTACTTAACCAGTCTTCTAATGTGCTCTAATGCAAGAGAAGCCCAACATAGCTGAGGATGGGTGATAACCTTCAAAATCCACTTCGTTTGCAACGCCTTCATCTGCTGCCCCGGGTCTAATATGCTCAATCCCCCTTGCTCTTTTGGCTTGATTACATGCTTCCAAGCTACCTTAGATATGACATTCTGTTTACTTGGGTTTGCTGACCATCGGAAAGTTGCTGACCTTCTTCTTAACTCGCCAATGGACCGATCTGGCGGTGTCCAAATCGAACCTACATACCACAATATCAAAAAATGGAGGCGTTTAGGATTAACGCTCTCCCAAACAAAGAAGTATAAATTGCTGCCCAAGTACTTAGCTTCGTCAAAATTTTGGCTAAAATCTCTGGCGCCATTGCGTGGTGAGGCCCTGCTTCTGCTAACCTAATTCCCAAATAACATAGTGGTTCCTCTACTGGTGACCACTTCCGGGGTATTAACAGGTCTCTGCTCCTCTCCTTCTCCATAGTGCAACCACCATCCTATAGTCTTGGGCCAATTTATTCTCATTTCGGATGCCAGCTGGAAAGCAAGCATTGCTCGAGTGAGAGCCTCGAAGAATGAGCTCGAGGCACGAATAAGCACCGTCACATCGTCAGCAAAAAGGAGTGTCGTCGGCAAGTGTATCAGTCTACCCTGCTGATCCGGTTCAGCTATCAAACGCTGGATGGAAGGATCCTTTCTGAGGAAAGATGCCACTGCTTCCATTATGAACAAAAAGATGGGGGCTGCTAATGGGTCCCCCTGTCTGACCGATCTCATCATCCTATAGCTCTGCGACAAGTGTCACCTGTACCTGCCCGTGTGCATCATTGTATAAGACCCGTATCCATTTCCTGAAATTAGGTCCTACACCCACCCTTTCCATGCACTGCTGGAGAAAACCCCAATTCACTTGGTCATATGCCTTCTCAAAGTCGAAGAACATTATTGCCACATTCATTATCTTATCCTTGATGTAGCGAAACTGATTCCGACAAAGTCATAACATTGCCCAGTACACTTCTCAAACCAGAAAAAGAAAAGAAAAAATATGAATCCCACATTGGCCCCCGAAATAAAAAGATCCACTCACATCTTGCCCCCCTCAACAAACGTTTATCTATTTTGTTCGCGTGAAGTTGGTGAACATGTTTTTACTCAGACCATAGCCATTCCAATTAAACGCTCACAATTTGTATACATTCGCAATCAAACTATACTACGCTCAAAAGGGAGGGGGGGGAGGGGCTTTGCAGATGCATTGCCAGCAAGAGACACAGAGAAAGAGAGAGAAGGCAGCAGAAGCACCTGTCTGTGCCCCTTCCCCCCGCAACACATGCCCCCTCATCACGACTGTATCGGACTAGGAAGATCGCTTGGGTACATTCATAATCAAGGTGCTCCGTCTTTGGAGGGGGGCTTCACAAACGTGGAGAGAGAGAGAGAGAAGATCACTTGGGTACATCAGTAATCAAGGTGCGTTGTGTTTGGAGAAGGGCTTCGTAAATGCGTAAGAGAGAGTGGGAGAGAGAGATTGAGAGAGAGATAGAGAGGAGTCCGTACGGGTTTAGCATGGCCGCTGCAAAAGGATGACATGCACAAATTGTGAGCTGGTCAGGGTTGCATACCTGCGGACCGCCAACCCCGACCCCGACCGACTACCATTTTGCAGCCAACCAGTAGGGCCAGTGGTCGGCAATCTGCCGACCAGCATTTTGGGGGTGTTGGGGGGGTGTATGGGGGTATCGGGGGTGGGTATGGGGTTGTTGGTACGATTACTGGGGGTTCTGGACCCAAAAAAAAAACCTTGCAGGGTGCTGACGACTACTGACCTGTAGGTGCCGACCAGCCGACTGGTCAAGGGGCACCGACCCGGGTATGGAACACTGGAGCTGGTCCCAAATAAGTAGCACCCACAAATTTTGTCATCCATATCCACCGGACAGATGCAGATTAGGAGGACACTTAGCATTGCTAGGCTGTACTAAAAAGAACAGTCTAGTTATTAAAAAAAAAAAAGAGAGAGAGAGAATGGAAGACGGGATGGTTTTCAAGGGGTTTTGCAACGTTACTCTTCTCTGCTGCATCATTCTCTTTTGCCATTTATTTTCTTTTCAATGAAATTTGTTTTCTTTTTCAGTGCTATTTGTTTTCTATTTCAATGCCATTTATTTCCTATTTATTTCCTTTTTCAACTGATCTGAGAAATCTCCCATTTCAATGGAAACGCAATAATTAGCTTTGCCCTAGCACAACCCTTGCACTTCGTCTCTCTAATATCAGCTGAGTACAAATGCAACACAACCGATGAGCTGTTCTAAATTCTAATAGGAAGTTGGTCTACATGGTCAAGAAACGAACATATGATATGAAACTCGAACCATCATAACCCCATCATAACCCCAGCATGCCCCCCCTCATATGGCAGCGCCCTTCAGACCCCTACAACTAAAGATATCGTATGATGATACTCGACCCCACCATGACCCCTCTTATATGATAGCAGGCTCCAACCCCCTGCAACTATAGATACCATCATGACCCCCTTTACATGGCAGCAGGCTTCTGACTCCTGCAATTACAGATATGGTACTCGACCCCACCACGACCCTTCTTATACAATAGCAGGCTTCACCCCCTGCAAATGTAGGTATGATACGATGATACCCGACCCCCTCATGCGGCCCCCTTCCCCTCCCCACGTTCATATGATATCTCCCTTCAACCCCCTGCAACTATAGGTATGATCTGATACTCGACCCCATCATGAACCCCACCTTACATGATACTCAAATCCCTCATGGACACCCTCGAAGATATGATATAACACTCTTAATATCGTGTGCGAATGATACAATTTTCCAACCCCGTAAACACCGGGTTATGTCCTCAAAAAAGCAAAATATGTAAGGACCTGCCAAAACACGGACTGAGAACACAGCTGATTTCTGAGTTTTGCAACTGGAATGAATGCCTTGCTGAGATCCTCACGTCTTGCTGAGTTTCTAAGTCTGCGTGTGTGTGTGTTTGCTGGTCTGCGTGCCTGTCTGAGTGCTTGTCGGACTGAGCGTGTGGGTGGCCCGCCAGGCTCTTGTTTGTTTGGGAGGCCCGCAGGGCCGGTACATACCTGTGGCCGTGACTTCAAGGGTGCAATGGGGAAAACACTGAAGTGGCCGGAGGGGTAGCTTAGGGCACACTCAAGTAGTAGGAGGCTAGGTCCGTAGGTGTGTCGAGCAGCGGGTGGCCGATCAGAAAAAGACAAAAAGTTAGTACCTTGGAGGATCGCGTGGATTTAGGGGGTCCGGTAGGCCTGGGAGTAGGTACCAGTCCTGTAGTCTGTAGTCTAGAGCCTGTGGCGGACGATATCAGAGCCTGCAATGATGTTTCCCTCTAGGAGGAGGAGGTGCCGGTGGCTTGGAGGCCGTGAGGCATTCAGTGCCTCGCATGTGGTATATCTCCAGGAGGAGCGAGTTTCTCCTCCTCATTTGCTGTGTGCAAGTTTGGGCGTCATGCTGCTGGAGCGTCTGGTGGAGAGCGCTAATGTGCAGCGCTGGAGGGACAGCGCCTGGTAGGAGGAGCAGTAAGATGGGGGCTAGGGGAGGGGAGAGGTACTTACCTGGCTATTGTGGACGCCATCTTCATCACCTTGGCCTCTGGAAGGCCCCAGGTTGGGTGGCGCTGCATCAAGAAGCTTCGAGGCAGAGTCAGGAACAGCGGCCTGAGAGGATGAAGACAGCGCTGCTTTCGTGTTGCCTTTTGCACGTTAGGGCAAGGCCGCTAGAAGCCCGCCATAGGCTAGGCCTGGCCATGGTTATGGTGGGCCTTCTGTTGTGCTGGCAGTAGAAGAGGGATGCAGACATTGATTCTGGTTCAGCCATGTTATTATTATTTACTAGGGGACCTGTTCCGGCTACACCCGCAATAAAAAAGGAAATGTTTGCCAAGAAGTTGGACTCTCTCTCTCTCTCTCTCTCTCTCTCTCTCTCTCTCTCTCTCTCTCGTCATGCCGGGGGACCATAGTACAAAAGTCACACGCAGCAGAGTAGCCAAATCTCTCTCTCTCTCTCTCTCTCTCTCACACACACACACACACACACACACACACACACACACACACACACACACACACGTGCTCCTGCGCATGCGCACATTCTTTCCCGTTTCTTTTTTTTGGGTCCCAATGGACCACAGAACTGATCGGTATAAATAATACACTTGACGGAGACTCTCGCTCTCTCTCTCGCGCGCGCGCGAGCGTGGCGCCACGGATCATATATGAATCTGATCGATACAGATAATACACTTGACGGTGGGGGAGAGCAGGGGGTGGGGTGGGGTGGGAGTGTCGTAGGTACTCTCTCTCTCTCTCTCTCTCTCTCTCTCTCTCTCTCTCTCTCTCTCTC